ATCTCCGCGTATGTGTCTTTGTGCCTGTGTGTGCACGTGCGCATCTCCGCGTGTGTGTCCCTGTGCCTGTGTGTGCACGCATCTCCGTGTATGTGTCTCTGTGCCTGTGTGTGTCTGTGCGCGCATCTCCGCGTGTGTGTCCCCATGCCTCTGTGTGTGCACGCATCTCTGCATATGTGTCTGTGTGTGTGTGCGCGCATCTCCGTGTGTCCCTGTGCCTGTGTGTGTGTGCGCATCTCCGCCTGTCTGTCTCTGTGCCTGTGTGTGTGCCCGCATCTCCACGTATGTGTCTCTGCGCCTGTGCGTGCGCGCATCTCCGCGTATGTGTCCCTGTGTCTGTCTGACTGTGCATCTGTTTGTGTATTTATGTCTGTGTATATCTTAGTACCTGTATGTGTGTATATCTAAGATAACAAGGTGTAGAGCTGGATGAAGACAGCAGGCCAAGCAGCATCAAAGGAGCAGGAAGGCTGACGTTTCGGGCCTAGACCCTTCTTCAGAAAAGTCCATGTGCTGTGGGTTGACTCTGACCCGGCAACTCTGAAGGAACGGTGATATACTTCCAAGTCAGGATGGAGAGTAGCTCGGAGGGGAACTTGCAGGGGGTTAGTGTTCCTATGTATCTGCTGCCCCTTGTCCTTCTAGATGGAAGTGGTCGTGGGTTTGGAAGGTGCTGCCTGAGGACCTTTGGTGAATTTCTGCAGCGCATCTTGTAGATGGTACACGTTACCATGGAAATATATCCCCGTTCCTTCAGTGTCGCTGGGTCAGAATCCCTGGAATTTCCCTCCCTAAGGGACATTGTGGGTCAACCCACAGCACATGGACTGCAGGGGTTCAAGAAGGCAGCTCACCCCCACCTTCTCAAGGGGGGGCTACTAGGGACGGGGCGATATGTGCTGGGCCCAGGCAGCAATGCTGCGATAACGGGAATGAGTATGAGTGAGAATTGGTCCCTGAGTGAATGCTGGTGGATTCTGCTGTTTGTGGACAGCGCTCCAATGCGTAGGCCCCAGTGATGATGTGTTTTCCTTTCTGTTGGGACAGCTACGTTGTGGGAATGTGCGGTGACGGAGCCAATGACTGCGGGGTGAGTTCTTCTGCTCTTCGCTGTTTTTTCTTTCCAGCAACTATTCGGCCAGGCCGGGCGTCGCAACAGAAGCCCCTCCCCATCTGGCCTCGGGAGATGCTGCCTGTCCCATAGCAAGGCCGGGGTTCTCCGGGAACTCTGGACCAAGGTCTACCTTGAGACTCTCCCCCCCACCCACACACATACCCCCCCAGTAAAGGAGGTCTCCTGAGGGGCTGAATGGCCTCCTGATGTTCCCCACGTTGCCCCAGCAGGGCAGAGATTGGTGACGGTGAGGAGCAGGTCTCCAAGCATGGACCTGCCGCTCTCCCTCCGTTCAGACTGACCCTGCTCCCAGCATTGGAGGGTCTAGATGAGACAGAACACTGCCCTGTGCGTGTGTGTGTGTGTGAGAGAGAGAGTGGGCACAATGGGTGATCAGCCGTGAGGGGGAGAGACAGGCTCGAAGGGACAGAAGGGTCTCCTTCTGGCCCCTATCTCTCGTGTGTTTTTGCTGAGACAGCCCCCCCACCCCCCGTGCCCTGGGCACAGCAGGGTGCCCACTCCTCCTCAATCAGACTGCAGTTACCATGTTTCTGTTACAGGCTCTGAAGACAGCCCACGTGGGGATCTCCCTGTCACAGCTGGAAGCCTCAGTCGCCTCACCTTTCACCTCCAAACTGCCAAACATCGAGTGTGTCCCCATCCTCATCAAGTAGGTACCAGGACCTCCACTTCGCTCACGACCTAACCCTGTGCTGTCCCTGTCCTGGGGCAGGGTGTAATGGGGGGACAGTGTAGAGGGAGCTTTACTCTGTATCTAACCCTGTGCTGTCCCTGTCCCAGGGCAGGGTGTAATGGGGGGACAGTGTAAAGGGAGCTTTACTCTGTATCTAACCCCGTGCTGTCCCTGTCCTGGGAGTGTTTGATGGGGGGTGGAGCAGTGTAAAGGGAGCTTTACTCTGTATGTAACCCCGTGCTGCCCCTGTCCTGGGGGGATTTGATGGGGGGG